AATTTGAATTATTCTTCTATTTTTTCTACGATTCTAGTTAGACGATTCTAGTTAGTTAAACAGTTCAAGCGGCAAAAAACCTGGCTACGGTCCTCAAAACAAGAAAGATATAGCAAAAGAACTGGAAGTACATTATTTCTGTGGACATATAAAATGTGGCACTATTTCTGAAATTTGAGCTGTAAACTATTATAATTAGTAAAATCCTAATTGAGGCTTGATCAGTCTTCTAAATTTAGAAGACTAAAGAATTTTCATGCACTCCTTCCTGTCACAAATGCTGAATAGTTAGAATTATACAAGTGATATAGAGGCGTTGTAATATTGATGACATTTTAGTACCTGTTAAAATTTAAAATATTTTGTTGAAGTTACGATTTGATTAGAATCTAGTTTTTTGAGAAAGTTATCTTATTCACTCACATGTGCGATAGGAATACCAAGCAGTTCGCAGTATTGTTATGGTCCATAGTTTCATTGATTATTTTGAATACTCTGAAATATCACAAGCTCTTGTGTTAACAGCTCCATAGATTTAGTTGTTTTGAATTATTTGATCTTCATACATACTCATCATTGTCAGATGGCATCAAATGTTCACCAAAAGTCATAATATTGTTGGCGTCTTCGCTAAATTTTCCCTCATCGTCTGTTATACGATCAAATACGACACTGAATGGCTCTTCTTGTTGTACATATCCGTAAGCCCAGAGGCCTGCAGATGTATTCTGACCTCTATTGAGCAAACGGCCAGCAACCTGCACAATTAATAGCTTCTCCTGGAAAAGAGACACATTTTTTTGCAAAGGTGTAGAGCGTGATATAACGGCCCAAGCCAATTTGCTTGATTCCACTTTTCAAGTTCTTTTGGCAATGCATTCAATCCTTTGAATGAAACTTACTTTACGACATAAATCTTCGTCTCTATACAAGTTGAGCAAATCCGCGACAAAAACACAGTGAATCTCCTTAGGTACTGCAATAATCTTCATTATTTTTTCAATGTTTAATCACTAGGAATAGACCAACAAGTGCTCACTTTCAACTCATTAGTGCCAGCTTTCTAAATTAATATATGCTTTGACAAAAGATGGCTACATAGCCTGGCGATTCAAGAAACGGTATGCAAAGCATAAGATAAGATACGCGAAGTTAATGACCTCAAATTATGTTTTCTTGTATCAAGCGTTGGGAACAGTTACGCGTGTTTTGCT